ACCGACATAGTGAAAATAAACTTTTTATATAAGAAACGAAAAGAACAGTAACGGAATGAAATTATAAAGTGTGAACTGTTGTAGGCTGTGTCCTTCCTAAACAGCTGGGGGAGGATGACGCTGGAACGAATTCTTGAAGACGACCTCTGCGTGTTAACTACTGTTGAATGAAAACAAGTGACGACCATTGATGAAAAGGAAGTACTTATTTATTTTGAAAAGATAGACGTAGTTATATGAACAGTTATTAGGTGAATATATCAATGAAACGCATCTGTGTACAAATTTAAGTGTTTCATGTATATGTATATAACCTTTTATGCACATATATGTATATGAACACATTTATGCAAGTATCTAGATGTATTATTTTTAGTAGTTTCCCTAACACGGGCAATAAGTACTGTAAACTGGGCGTCATTCAGTTACTAAATTCACTGCAGATTTCATTTATTTGCTTTAAATATGTGAATCAGGATCCGTAAACATCTGTCATTAATTTTAACAAGGCAATGTCTTACAAAAGCTCCCCTGCTTCCATGCAAGACATAATCCTCAAGAAGCTACACGTGAACAATAATTTCGAGATAAATTGCTCTTTTTAAAAATTATTCGCGCATTTGAATGAAAAAATAAAAGTCGAGAAGACCTTCTTTGACCCCTGTGACCTCTCGCCCAACCTGCGTGGTGATAAGAACAAGGCAGTTAAAGCTGTATTGTGTGTATGTGTATTTACTACAGCCTGTTTTGACCCCATGCTTGCTGCGCGCTGAGCTTAATTCTTTTGTTTTCTCTTTTGAAGCTCTGACGTCCCGAGACAAAGAGTGTGAATGAAACACGTGTTAGATACTTTTTTTTATGAATGAACGACGATCCAAGTACCTCTCGGCGAAGTGGCTTGGAGTATTTACCAAAAGTATCTTCAAGGTGCTGGATAGCCTCCCTGGAATCCTGTAAAGAGGTCTCTTCACTATAAAAGTAGTAAGTGCACTCTGGCCTTTGAGAGAGATTCGATTGAGTATATGTAAGGCTAGCGTATGATAGCCCGCCCCGGTTTTATTTACTACTTTTATAGTTAGGTATGAGTATAATTTCTGACTTAATTTTACTTGTCATATACAGAAAAGAAAGAAGAAAAATATCCGAAATGTGTACAACGGAAAACCCCTTAAACATTTATATATATATATGTATATATATATATATATATATATATATATATATATATATATATAGAGATAGATAGATAGATATAGATATAGATATATATAGTATATATATATATATATATATATATATATATATAGATATATATATATATATATATAGTATATATATAGTATATATATAGTATATATATATATATATATATATATATATATATATATATATATATATATATATATATATATTAATCCACATTGCTATTACCTGGAAATGAATAGGTAAATAAACATAAAAAGGTATGAAACAATCCTTATTCAAAATACAAAACACCGATATAACTATTTTTGTATAGTATGAAGATACTACACTACTTCATCTCATCCCAGTGTGTCTATCGGTAGTCTATCTATAGCCGTCAATCAGTAATTAATCTGAGTTCTCTATTTATATATATTTTTACGGACTACCTGTTGCCAAAAAGAGAAATAAAATGACATTTATGGTGTCAGTTTCCATATCTTTCTTTCTATATCTACTAACCTGTCAATCGGTCTATTTGTTTGTATATTCTAATGATCTAACTATCATTCTTTTCATCAATTAGTATTCTTATCTATTTGTCCAATTTTATAGTCCTCTATCGTATATCTACTACATATACTTATCTATCTGTCTATCTAACCTACCTAGCAATTTAGATATTAACTACTCATTCTTTTATATTTATATATTAATTGGCCTATCTATCTATCTATTTATATGCCTATCTGGCTATATCTCTGTGTTTATCTGTTTATCCAAAATCTATATCTGTATACTTATATGCTCATCTATTAATATCGATCCTTATATCTATCCATAGATATCTGCCTATGTTTATCTCTATATAAGTAATCATATGTCTGTCTTTCTATGGCTATGTAGTTACCTTCATATATGAATATCTACATCTCTCTAAGTCCATATATATGTAATTATTTATCTATTCCTGCATACTCATCTCTCCAACTATATATATACACATACACACACAAATATATATGTAATTATGTATACTTACCTGTCCTATCTCTCCCTCTACTTGAATGTAGTCATCAGTATCTATATATATAAATAACCACCTAATACACCCAACATGTTCCCTTACCTCGAGACCAGTCCCCTGCCTGGCGCGGAAGTTGGCGATGATGTCATCTGCCTGTCGCTCGAAGTCTGAGGGCTCTTTGCGAGGTTCGAAGAAGTCGCTGGGAAGGCCTGCGGGAGAAGGCGAGGCGGCGCGGGTCGAAGGGCGCGTCACTGGAACGGCGGATGATGGGGACATGTTCTGGGTCTCCTGCGGGGGGGCGACGGGGAGAGTTAGTGAGGAAGGGAGGGAGGGGGAAGGGGTATGTGTTGTGGTGTGATATTGGGATTATTCATATATACATACATATATATTGTGACTGAATCTATGTGCATATATATATATATGTATATATACTTAAATATATATATGCATGTATACATTCATACACACACACACACACACACACACACACACACATATATATATATATATATATATATATATATATATATATATATATATATATATATATATTTATATATATATATGATATATGATATATTATATGCATATATATACCATACACACACATATGTATATACATCACATATATACGTACACACACACACATATATATATGTGTGTGTGTATGCATACATACATACATACATATATATATGTGTGTGTGTGTGTATGGATACATGCATACATATATATGTATATGTCTGTGTGTGCGTCTGTGTATGTGCATTTGTGTATATTTGTGTGAAGCAATACTATTAACAAATTCCAACATATATCTTTGTGTTCAAAGAGGAAAAAAAGAACAGTGTAAATATAAATTTTGTATATACAAACTAAATACATACAGTATAGGATAATACCACACTAAATACACAATATGCATATGTTCTCTGGGTAAACACGCTCGGAAATCGCTTCTCAAAGAGTGTTAAGTTTTTTGTTTATAGAATTCTCATACTTTTGGGAGTTTAGATTCTGTTTAGTGTTTATACTTTAGAAAAAAAAAGAAGAAAAGAAACACAATAAATTTGTATTTCAAATCACTGTAGTGAATAGTAAAGGCAGCTAAAAAAAGAAGCAAAATGAAACACATTATTTTTAAAAATCAAAATTAAGAAGCAAGAAAGGGAATAATGTAAATAGGCGAAACGAAGAGTAAATAAGGATGAAATCAAATCAGTGACGTGTTATTTCATGCAAAGCTGAACTGAAATAGCCACTTATATATATATAGAAATAAAGGTGTTGGACATATTGGTCATTTTACAGACCTTTATATCGTAGAAATAAGTATTAAGAATAGGGAAAATATAAAGTGTGTAAGTGTATAGAAGTATTCGTGTGTTTATGTGAAGTTCTGAAACTGTTCATTGTAAAAAAAAAAAAAAAAAATCAATTTATTGGGCCATTCCGTTCAGTTGCTTTTCAGTATCATTAAAAAATATAGAAAAAAAACAACATATGCACATGCGAAAATCTCCCATAAAAATAGAACATTGAGGGACAGTAATAACAAGAAGTAGAAATAGAATTAAAGGGGCAGTGAAAGAGAATTGAAGAGGACCTGAATGCCTTGAACCCCAGTTAGGACTGAGATGGCTATGCTCGTGCAGGCTAGGCAAGTCAAGGTTGGCTTCAAGGTAAAAAGACACACCACACTCACAACTCACTAGGTTTGAGACGCCTAATGGCCTGAGGTGAGAGACAGCATCGCCTTCTCATTCTTGGCTGAATGGAGGATGGAGGAAGGGTCTTCCGTGTGGGTGTTTGTGTGTATAAGAGTGAGTTTTTTTTTAAAGGACATATGCAGTGTGAAAGAAGGGTGTGACAGAGTAGGTGAAGTTCATGTTTTTTTTTTTCTTTGTTATCTTCTTATGTGTGTGTTCTTAGGAACTGTTTATTTTTTCTCTTTTGCTTTTTGATATATTTATTTTTTTTATCGTGTATTTTTGGAGAAAGGAGAAAGTGTTTGAAGAGACACTCTTGCTTTTCACTAAAAAGCTTGTTGCAAGAGAAGAGAGAAAAGAGGGCAAACATGTCGTAGGAATTGAACTAAGAAAAAAAAGGGCGTCTACAAGATAGAGAAAACGGCAGATAAGAAGCAAATTCATTAGCGTGAAGAACAACTTGGACTCGACAAAACTTGTGCCACGAAGTAACCTACTGCAATATTAAGAGAGGCAGTCCAACAATTAGGTGTAAAATAGATTAGATAATAAATAAGTAATCAGGCATAATGCAAAGAGAAAAGAAAATGAGATCACGGATTAGATGCCAATAAGCTAAGATGTTATCTTGAAGTGAAATGAAGACACATTGAAAAGAAACAGACTCGACAGTATTATCACTGCACAGTGAAAAAAGCATGAGCAAAGTACACGGTGATACCAGAATATGAATTCTAAAGGGACCGTTTACGCAGATGGCCTGTCAGCGTGGATCCAGAGCCTATTTGCCAAATTCTGGAAACAGTAACAAAGAAACACAGTACTGAAAACAGATTTGTTTTTTCTTTGCATCTGAATAATCTGTGAATTCTAACTAAATATTTCCAGGGCTCTTTATTCAAACACGCTTACGGCACCACCTTCAACAGCCTACCAGCCCTAAATCTAACAAAAAACTTAAATTTACAAGTAGCAGCCCATAAAGACGATTTTCTAAAGACGCGAGAGAAAGAGGAATTAAAAGGCATAGAAAAGACTATGTTATTAAACATTTCTTTTGACTTAGTTCCTTGGATTATGTTCTCTTGCAATGGCAGATAAGAATGCCTCAGAAGGTAAGCACAGAAAGTAAAATGAAAAAGAAAAAAACATGTTGCTGTTTCTTTTTATTTCATTTCCAGGAATACCAACTAATGGGGGCGAATGTAATGATGGCAAAAAAGTCATACAAGTGATAGAAAGAGAGAGAAAAAAATATATATCAAAAGATATACTCAGTGTCAAAGGAGAGAGAATGAGACAGGATCAAAGAAGAAAGAGAGATGAGAAAGGAGAGATAATAAAGAGAGAGAGAGAGGATATGACTAGAGAGGGAACGCGTCAACTCTAGTAGCGCCTTCTCGCTGCTGACACGGCGGGAATGTGTGGGTTGAAGCCACAGTAATCCTCCTGAAAAAACGTGAAGGGGATGTAGGCCTATGCTTACACTATGGCAAGTTAAAAAAATAAAAAAACAAACAAACAAAAGAACAAAAATTAATCGTAATGTACCTAAGTTTTTCGTGTTTTTACTCTCAAAGACTGGGGGGAATTTGCATATATATCCATCTCTATTATCATGATTAATTTATCCATCTATATATCATTGACCGTTCTATTTGATTGGAGTGTTATTTTTCTTTTTTTTGATATATGAAAATATTTCACATATAACCAACTGGGTTATAATTAAGCTTGTTGATTTTTCGCATTGCTGTGATGCAGTTTTTAAATAAATTTTGGATTATAAAAGCGAATTCTTGTAAGATGTTATATTTTTTTCCCATCATATATGGCTTATTCACATGTTAATCTATGTCCTATTTTTAGCGTGTAAAATTATACATATACATATACGCGTGTGTATACATATCTCTGCATATGTATATACTTACATATGCATATGTTATTTTTCTGAATGCGCGTTGTATTAATAATGCCAAAAGACCAGCTTAGCTCCGAGTTCGTTAAGCAGTTTAATGAATATGTACGTAAATAAAACGAAAAGAGAAGAAACACAAAACAATATAAATCAGATGAAAAGAAAAAGAAAAAAGAAAAAAATAATATCAGTATTAGCATCAGCGGTTATATAAATCATATTATTATTGTTACATTTGTGATTTGAAATAACGTTTTTTATTTTTCTTCGTCGACGGTTATGAAGCGTAGCGATGAGGAAGAGAAGGAGGAGAAAGAGAAGGAGGAGAAGGAGGAAGAGAAGAGAAAGAAGAAGAGGAAGAAGAAGAAGAAGAGGAAGAGGGGGTCTATCCTTACCCCTTCTTAGCCCCCTCTCCCTCCTCTCCCCTCCCTTCCCTTCCACTCCCTTCGTTCTTTTTCAAACCTCCCTCTCCCCCTCCTTGCTTCTCTCTCCCTTACCCATCCAGGCTATTGACTCACCGTTCTACTCAGCCCAGGGTAAGTCAGTGAGGTTAAAAAACGCCTGGGACTCTTTCCACTGGGATCCATTTGAGAGATCTATTTTGGAAACGAGAAAGGTTATCAGAAACTGCTCTCCTTTGTAAGGATTCTTAGATGCTGCAGTTTTCTCGATTTTTTTTTAGCTGCCGAATATATATATATATATATATATATATATATATATATATATATATATATATATAATATATATATATTTCAATTACATATACATTTCTTTTCGGTTGTATCTTTTTCCGTGATCAGGTAAACTTGTGTGCATGCATGTATATATGTATATATATATATATATATATATATATATATATATATATATATATATATATATATATATATATGCATATATATATATATATATATATATATATATATATATATATATATATATGCATATATATATATATATATATATATATATATATATATATTTATATATATACAAGTATATATGTGTATATATATTTTTTTCTCGAAATCATTCCAGAACATGTCATAGTCCTATAATTCTATGATATTTGTTAAAAGAATCTAACTGTTACTGAACTAAAGCACACACACACACACACACGCACACACACACACACACACAGACACACACACACACGCACACACGCACACACACAGAAACACACACACACACACGCACACACACACACGCACACATACACACACAAACACACACACACACACAAACACACACACACACAAACACACACACACACACCAGACCGCAGGTGTGAACATACAAAATAACCCGAACCACAACAACAGCGTCTGAAGTGTAAACATATACTTCCGCTTTCTCAGAAGAAACAACAAGCCATTAATTTCTTTCGGTTCTGTCACGTTCTTACTTGTATATTCAATTTAAGTAATTTAAATCTCTTAGCAATATAAATAACCTGCGCGAAACCCAACTCCCAACCAATCTTGACATTAACCTTCGTAAAAAAAGAAAGAAAGAAAAAAAAAATCACGCACGGAAAGTAGTAATTTCACAAAAAAGAAAAAAAAAATCAGTAAACGTGATGCCCTGTTATTAGAATATTCCTATCTTCCAATATATAAACTAAAAAAGAATAATAATCAAAAAGAGAG